ATTAAAACAGAATTTCTTTGATTGGCTAATATCCCAATGGAGATTAGTCAATCAGAGTAATTCCGTTTTAATTCCGTTCCGCTATTTCTCTCTCCATGGGGATGCAGCATTATCTGCACATCGATTGCGATTAATCATCGCGATCATCGCGTTTGAAAGTCAATAGACAGGCGTGGTGGAAAACAAGACAAGTTATTACGATATTGCGGAAATGTCGGTGCGCGTTGCTGTGGTACGTAAATTGCGTAAAATTTTGAAATTTATCAGTAAAGAATCTTTGAATTTTCAGAAGATTGATTATAGTTCTTTCTTCTCTTAGCTGCATTGGGTTATACTTTTTGCTTTAAAAATGAAATTGGTGTACAATTGAAGGCTACAAGAAAAAAACGATCAATGTCCATATGGAGTAATTTCGAGAAAAATGCAATTTAAAGTTTCAAGACATCAGCAGATATCTTAGGAAGCTATTGAAAATCTTTTGGCCTTATTTCCAATGAGCTGTAATTGCTCTTGATCAACAAACAGATAAAAATTGTGGAAGTGCCACAAGATAACATGATCAGATCAATTTCGATAACAAGTGGACTTTGATCGTTTTTCCCTTGTATCTTTCAATTGAATGTTGGAGAGAAAGGGAAAAGGATGAGACGTACAGGAAGTTTAGCTATAAAGAAGAAATATAAGTTTTTATTTGTAGTTGGACTTTTATTTGCAGTCCATACTTTTTATCCTCTTCTTCCTCTCTGATATTTAATTGCATACTTGTTTTATTTTCAATTTAAAAATATAACACAATGCACAGCTGCAAAAAACATCTATAAATCTTAATTGACAAGTAATGCTATTGTTCAGGTAACTGGTGGAAACAAGGGCATCGGCTTTGCCACCGTCAAAGCCCTCTGTCAACAGTACGATGGAAATGTTTACTTGACAGCTCGCGACACCACTCGTGGCTTGAACGCCGTCAGTGATCTGAAGAAGCAGGGCTTGAATCCAAAGTTCCATCAGTTGGATATCAATGACGACGACAGTGTCAATACATTCCGGGATTACTTGCAGAATACGTACGGCGGTCTCGATGTCCTGGTTAACAATGCTGCCATAGCATTTAAAGTAATTCAAGATATTAATATAGTAATTAATAATTTAAGATGCATTATTGATATAACATTTGACAAATATGTCTAATTCTTTATCTTCAAAACGAGATTATTTTTAAAGAATAAATTGGTTTTAAACAGAAGTAATATATTTCTTCTATATTCATATTTGTACATTTTGATAGAAAACATTTTGAATATAATCTTATGGTAATAAAGTGTTATTTCTTTTTCTCTAACCAGGTATATATTAAAATTTACTTATTACAGACGACTGCTACGGAGCCTTTCGGAGTCCAAGCGGAAGAAACGATACGAGTAAACTACTTCAGCTTGCGTAGAGTGTGTACTGCTCTCTATCCGTTACTCAGACCGCACGCCCGGGTGGTTCACGTCTCCAGTAGTGCTGGACGTCTGTGCAACATTACTGGTGAAGCGTTAAAACAGAAAATAGCCGATCCTAATCTGACCGAAGCGGAATTGGACAAAATCATGCGCGATTTTGTCACGTAAGCTTTACCATAAAAAAATTTTTTTTCAACTCGGAAAGGTTTTTGCGAGATTTATATTTGTACATATTTATTTCCAGTGCTGCAAAATCTGGCACGCATTTACAAGCCGGTTGGTCAAATTCAGCGTACCATGCAAGTAAAATCGGCGTTTCTGCCTTAGCTGGTATTCATCAATCCATGTTTAACGCGGATCCTCGAGAAGAC